GGGGGCTGGGGGGCGCCTGCGGACGGGGACCCGCCCGACGCGGCGCCAGCGGGTGAGGGGCCGGCGGGGAGCGCCCCCAGCCCTTACCGAGAAGCTAGCGGGGCGGCGACGAGTGCGCTACGGGGCTGGAGCCGGAGCAGGAGCCGAGAGCTGGGGCGACCACCGGAGCCGGGAGGCGGCGCGGAGGAGGGGCGCGCGGCGGCCACACCCCGGAGGCCCCGCCCCCAACCCGGAGGCCGGACGCAGCGGGCGACTCTGTCCACGCCCCGGGTTTGCCAGAGGCGAGTGAGGCTCCAGGGGCAGGAAGTGATTTCTTCTCCTCCTGATGTCTCGCTAGTAAGACCACGCACGTCCAAATCCACCTCCTCTCTTCGGTATCTGCTACCGCACACGCACACGCACGAAAACCTGCTCTTGATCTTGAGTTCTTCACCCCGGTCAATACCATCTGCTTTCCCCCATCCCCCCGAGCACCCAGAGTTAAGCTTTCTTTCCTCATGCACCCTCAAGTCCTTATCGTTCCCACCTATGAAATCGTTTTCCTTTTCCCTCCCCTCCGCTTGAGTCCTGGTTCAAGCCCTCAACCTCCCTCATTCAAACGGGCAGCCTCCCAAGGAGCCTCAGCCTCACCTCTCCCCGCAGAGCCTCCTCAAACACCCGTCTGACCCTCGTCCCGCTGTGATGACTCCCCGCTGCCTGGAGGATGGCACTCCGACGCCACGCCGGAGCCGAGTGCCCCGTGCCTTCCGCAGTGCGCCCTGCTCCCTCCTGCCTGTCTCCCCACCCAGCACTGTTGTGGTTAGGGCAGGTCATCCAGTTCAGCCTGAGACACACCCTTGACGAGATTCTAGATTTTCTCATTGGAAATCAGGCTTGTCATCTGTTTGCAGACAATTCCCACCTCCACTGTCACCGTTTGGCGGTGCCCAGCTTCCCTGGGGGAGTCAGCGAGCCGCTCCCCCTCAGCACTTACTGACCCCTGCCCAGCAGTGCTTATACCCTGAGATGATCAGAGCCCCTGTGTCTGTCTCTCCTCAGGACGGTGAGCTGACCACGGGAACCATGTGTCATCACTGTAGTGGGCCTGGCACTGCACTGATAACCTGTAGCTGTCAGAGGGGGTGACAACCCAGGCCTCTATTACACCTTGTTGGCTTTCCAGACTTCTAGTTGCTGAGCATTAGACCATAACACGTTGACAATCCTCATTCTGGAGCAGGGACACCCAGTGTTCCCTCTGGCCTCAATCTGCAGCACACTCTTATTTGAGCTTCCTTTTTCGAGTTACCAAATGTAAACTCTGGGAGAGAGTCTGGGGATTTCACCAGAGAGCTGTTTGCCCCTGGGTCTGGTCACTAATAGCCCCCTGCCCGTCACCTCTCCTTTCCTTCTTGGAAAGACTGTCATTGGGGAAGGTATAACCCTCCTGCCTCACGACACACATATTCATTCCTCAAAAGTCCTGGTACTCTCATCTCACCCCCTAAAACAAACAGGCCATGCCTTGTGTGAAACAGAAATGCATCTAGTTCTCAGCTGCCCCCAAAAAAGGTAGCCCCCAATGGGGGGAATCCTTTCACAATGTATATCAAATCATCACATTGTACACATTAAATATCTTACAATTTTATTTGTCATATACCTCAATAAAGCTGAAAACAAAAAACCAAACAATAACCCCATCCCAACTGTCCTCTTCTGCTTCCTCCTGAGAAATCATGTCCCCTCTATTGCCTCTACCAAAGCCAGGTGAACTGGGAAAACACCAAGAAAACCTGCTCAAGTTTGTGGCAAAAATCAACAGTTGTCAGGGCCACCCCGATGGCGTAGCAGTTAAGTGCGCACACTCCGCTGTGGTGGCCCGGGGTCTGGATCCCGGGCACACACCAAGACACCTCACTTGTCAAGCCATGCTGTGGCGGTGTCTCATATAAAGTGGAGGAAGATGGGCACGGATGTTAGCCCAGGGCCAGTCTTCCTCAGCAATAAGAGGAGGATTGGCATCGGATGTTAGCTCAGGGCTGATCTTCCTCACACACACACACAAAAAATCAACAGTTGTTCCCCATTATCTATCCCCACATTCTCCCTTCTCATATTAGAACTCCTGAGTTTCATCTGGGCACAAGGTTACCCAAATAAAGATAACATTTTCCAGTTTTTCTTGTTGCTACATACAGCCACATGACTAAGTTCTGGCCGGTGAGATGCGAGGGGAAGTGGAGGTAGTAAATTCAGGGTTGTACCCTTAAAAGGAAGGGACACTCCTTCGCTTCCCTCCCCAACTTGCTGGAAGGCGAACAGAGGAGTGGTAACTGGTCCTGGATTGGTTAGAGGGAACCAAGTCCTTGGACAACCTCAAGGATAAGAGCCTTACCACCATCATCACCCCTACTTACCCACTTGGACTTTTTTTTTTCAGCTTTATTGAGGTATAATTGACAAACAAAATTCATATGTATTTAAGGTGTAGAACTTAATGTTTTGATATACAAATACAGTGACGAAATGACCACCACAATCAAGCTAATTAACATATCCATCACATCACACGGTTACCGTTTTCTTTCTTGTGTGTGCGCGCGCGCGCGGTAAGAACACAAGATCTATCCTCTTAGCAAATTTCAAGTATACAATACAGTATTGTTACCTATGGTCACAGTGCTGTACATAAGATCTCTAGCTTGGACTTTCAAATAAAAGATAAGTAAATTTCCATCTTGTCTCTGTTGAAGTAACCAAATCAATATCGTAACAAATCAAAGCTACTTACAAGATTTCTCTTGCTTCTTCTGAGGTCATGTCAGGGACCCAGGCCCGCTATCCACATAGCTTTCCTGTTTTGGAGTAGTTACAACTGAGTCCCCGAGAGCTTCTCAAGCAGGAAGGATACCTTTTATTTCCAATGAATCCCCTGCGCCCAGTACAGTCTTGGCAACCCAGCACGTGTTTGATAGATGCCTGTTGACTGGCTGTGCCAAGAGTGGATGGGATGCAGGGGGAAGTGAGGGACAGGCAAAGAATGTGTGTGTGTGTGTGTGTGATCTCTCAGGCCAATATAAATAATTTACATAGTATTTATACTCTCTATTAGCTCAGGTTAGCCAGAGCACATGAAAAAGAAAAAAAGAGTACAAAGTAACTACGGGATGAAACATTTTAATCTGACGGTAGCACATAACACTGTACAGGGAGCACTCACGGCTCCCAGAGTTTCCCTCCAGATTATAAGGAAGGTCTCAGCAATAACTAGATCTGCTATAGCCTGGTCCCCTGCCCATGGGGGGAAAGCAGCGCATCTGCTTTCATGTCACTCGTAGATCCAGTTCTGAGCACAGCTCTTGTATTCCACCAGTTCCTCAGGTTGAAACCACAAGGCGATCTCCTTCTCTGCACTCTCCACGGAATCACTGCCATGGATGATGTTCCTGGATGGCGAAAGAGATGGCCACGTTACCAAGACCAGAAGGATAAACGGCCCAGGAGCTCCCCTCACTCCCATTGCCAGAAAGCCTACAGCCACCACAGCAGAAGAGGCCAAAGCTCCACGGACATTAGTCTACGTCAAAAGAAAAAACCCAGGACTGCCGTTCATGTCAGGATGAAGAATGCCCTCCCCACCTCCAGCCCTCCCAACAACTCTGATGCAAGCAGTGCGAGCCTTCCGGAAGGACTTTGGCCAGCAAAGCGTATTGTACCAGATTCTAGCCTCTCCACAGAGACACAACCACAGTGAGGATGACAACCGAAGGCAGAGAGCCCGCAAAGCCAAACACCAACTTAAGGGGGAGAAAAACAATGAACTCTGATTAGAAATTGATCTGCATACGGTATCATGTCCATCCTCAGGAACTCCAATTCCTGTGGCCCCTAACTTGGATTACGGGAAAGGGTAAAAAGCACCAATTCCCACCTGCCAACTTGGATGCAAAAATCCCCACGGATGGTCCCAGGCTTGGAGTCCGCAGGGTTGGTCTCTCCGAGCATCACTCGGCCTGTCTTCACAACATTCAGCCCCTCCCAGACCTCAAAGGACAAAAGAAGATACGGTCAAGAAAGAAAAGCAATCTCAGCAGAAAATCCGAAAACTATTAATTTAAAAAAAGAAAAATAAGAAGCTCCCTTAAGATGACCTTCATTCATTGGACAAATACTTAATGGAGCATCTACTTGTTCTCGCACTGGGAATACCGGTCTCCCTGCTCCCACTCTTGCCTTTCTACAATCCATTCTTAACGCAGCAGCCAGAGTGGCCTTTTAAAATGCCAAGTGTGAAACCTCCCATAACTGCCCAGCACTCAGGAAGTCCATGGCCAAGACAGCCCTACATGAACCTGCCCCTGCCTGTGCCTCTGAACTCATCTCATTCAACCTTCTCTGCCACCCACCAGGCTTCAGTCACTCCAACCTTCTTTCTGTACTTCCAAAAGTCCCCACCCCAGGTCCTTTGCACATGCTGTTTTCTTGGTTGAGAAGGGTCTTCACTGTGAATTTGTGCATAGCTGGTTCTTTCTTCTCATTCAGATCTCAGCTTGAAAATCTCCTTCCTTGACCACCTAATCTAAACTGGTCACTTGCTATCACATCATCCTATTTCATTTCTCTGCATATCACTAATCAATAACTGATACATATATTTTTGGTTTCTTTATTATCTGCCCATCCTCCCCTTTCAAAATGTGTAGGCTTTCAACAGGTACCTGTTTTGCCTCATTCAGGACTGTATCCCCAGTGTCTAGAAAAGAGCCTGGCACAAAGACGACAACCAATACATACTTGGAAAAGAATTACTGCAGTCAACATGAGATCATCTCCCTTCCAATCAGGCAGACCTCTCCTGATCTCTCTCAGCTATGAGCCTTCAGTTGAGCAAGCAAATGCATCGTGTCTTTGGTGGGTCAGAGAGCTGACATATCCTAACTGTCTAATCCTCCCAGCCCATTTCCTCCACATCAATGAAGACCTGGTATCAGAAGAAGGAATCATAACACCCACTCTTCACTCCCCACTGAGTCATTACCATCCCACATGTGCACACTCACCATGGCAACCACTGGCCCTGAGTGCATGTATCTCACCAGGCCGGCAAAGAATGGACGGTCCTTCAGGTCGATGTAGTGTTCCTTGAGAAGGTCTTCAGAAGCCTATACCCCAGGATAGAGAATGAGAATTGGCCCCAAAACTATCTGAGAACCAGAAATCTAATTATTCCCCACTCACCCATCCTGCTCTTTAAAACATGAGCCCTCAGCTCGCTGAATCTGTTATAACCCAATCCCCTCTCAACACTACCAGAGGGGAGCAGTGACGAGACTAAAATTGTTTCAGCTTTGTACCAATTTCTCCCTATGGGCCTTGACTGATCAGAATAAAACCAAAGAACATTAGAATCAAATCCAACCATCTCATTTTAGACCGGAAAACTAACAATATATTATGAATTTCCATTCCCAGAGCAAGCCTCCACTAAAATGTTAGAGGGAAGAGAAGGAGGTGGTCTCGGCATCCAATGAGAAGCAAACTGAACCAGGTCATTTCTCGGGGACACGTTACATGTACTCGGAGGATAAAGGCCCCCTGGTGTGGTGATCAGGGGATTCCCACAGGTATTTACAAACCACTCAAAAGTCCGTGACATCTAGCAATAAATAATTTTGCTGAAGAATGAATTAGAATCTCTCACAGTGCAAGGCTGCTGTGTGGGAACAATCAAGTTAGCTAGAGAGTGAACCATCTGCTTGGTAATTCCAACTCGACTCTGCGCCACTGCACACACGCTTGTTAAGGGTCTAACAAGGTCCCTGAGTTTTTCCGGTTCTGTGGTACCGCACTCTATAAGGCAGATTGCACACGTCAGTGATACACACAAATGCGGAGATTTGCTCCCGAAAAGCACATCCAGAACATCCTACCGTCCAGCCCGTTAACCGTCAGTCACCAGAGTAAAATCACTCAGCCCGTGATCACTCATGTTCACGCTCACCTTCCCCACCCCTTCCATCCACACAGAAGACTGTAGTGGTAGTCTCCTCACACACTGACCTGACCTTCCCTCACCAGAACACTCTTCTAATTCTATTAGTTGGTTCTGAGTGTCTTTACTCTGCAAAACAGATCACAGGCTTTTTCTTGGGGGAGGGACCTCAAGTTTTCCCTTGCCTCCCTCCTCCACATCAGATTTAAATAACCCTGTAGACTTATGGCAGCTATCCCTCTGCCCATTCTTCAGCAAGCCTATATCCTTGATGGGAAACTCAGCGTAAAGGAGGAAATGTATGCACGTAGGGGTCAGAGAGACTCAAATGAAAATCCCAGCGGCATCAATGACTGTGTGCCTGCAGGCACACTACTTAACTCTCCAAGCCTCAGGTTCCTCCCCACTAACAACCACGGAAAGAGGATTAAGTATCTCTCTGCGTTGATATGAAGGCTGGATGAGAAAACACGTGTGCCCAGTACGCGGTAAATGCCTGATCCATAATACTTTCATTTCACTTCACCTTCAAAACCTAATGTAACATGCAAACTCTCTAGCAAGCAGTGCTCGTCCAACCTGGCTCTGATCACTCCATCAGGCTCTCCCCTCAGCGTTAACATCAGTCCACTCCCTCTTATATTAAGGCAGTTTTTCTAAAACATCACACAGGAACTCAACTGCAAATCAAACTAAATTTAAAATGCACTAGGAGAGTTCAAAGTTGACTCTTTTAAAAGGAAAAAAGATTTCCCCTAATTTATTTGCTTTGAGAATTTGAACTATTTCCCAGGTCTGTTTGAAGAAGGGTTCTTGGCCAATCAATCCTTTGCATTTTTTTAAATATTGCTTTGAAGATGTCTGGCAAGTGTGTCTGCTCTCTGCTGTTTGAGGTGGGCCTCCCCAAGGCCAAAACCAGTTTTCCCCCACACGCCCCGACGGTGCATAATATATGATAGACGCTAAACGAGTGGTAAATAATGATGGAAAGATTTCTTCACTAAAAACTAAGATTTGCTCCTCAACCTGCCTCAGAGAGGGGAAAGTTCTCTCAAATTATCTGCTCAGGAAGCTCAAGACCTGGAGCTCAAACCCCCCCAGGGCTTTGAGTCAGAAATCACAACGCCACGGTAATATGTGGGACTCTGCATTGCTAAAGGCAAAGGGAGGCTATTCCCGAAAGTCTCAAATAACTTGGTTTGTTCCAAGACTCAGCCACAATGCTAGGCCACCGAGGAGTTTCCAGGTTTCGGGACATTTGTGTGCACCCTACATGGAGAAATCTAAATAACAGGGGAGGGGAGAAACAGAGAGGCTAATCTAGAACATTCCCCTATACTACAAAAGAAGACACAGGAAGAATGAAGTGCACTTACATGCATGAATTTCATAGCAACAAGGCGAAATCCCTTCTGCTCAAAACGCTTGATGATCTCTCCCACGAGGCTGCGCTGGACCCCATCAGGCTTGATGGCGATGAAGGTGCGCTCACTGTTGGCCATGGTCCTGGGGACAGACAGGTGGGGGAAAGAAACAGCACTGAATATTCTGCCTACCTCACTAACCCTCAAGCAGATTATCCCATAAAGCTGGTTTAAATCTGTCACGTCAACTCCAAGTCTCTCTAGTAAAAACCCAGTTCCTCCTCAGGCCCTGCATTTATGAACCCATATCCCAGAGTGGGGAAGGGTCCAAGAGCAGGGGCTAGTTATTTCTAACCCATTTGACTTAATGAGCTTCTATTGAGCATCTGCTGTGTACTCAATACTGTGGCAGAACTACAGTAGCAGATTTTTTAAAAAGACACTATCTTCTCAGTTATCCAGATGAGGAAAACTACACTGATAATGTGACAGTGACATCTGGTACGAGGCAGTATGAAGTACAGTTTGATCTACTGCCACAGGCATGGTATTAGAACCAAAAGGGGTTTTAGAGATGATTTCCCCTTCGTTTTACAAATGAGGAAACAGATTCACAACACCAGAATGAGGACCAAAATCCCTATTTCCAATTTTGCATGGACCAAAAGCCCTATGCAATTTATGCCACATCATAAGATGTAATGAATAATCTGACTAATAAATGGAGGATTGTGAACTAGAGCCGTTAGTAATATCTGATCTGGAACATCCTGGTGGAAGGAAATCTAGAGAGCATCTATTCCAGACCTTTCCTTTTACAAAGAAGACTGGGTTCACGACCTGCTCTGTCTCCACCAGATGAGAAAGGAGGCCCTCACCTTGAAAGACAATCCCTAATGTGGAGAGCAGCACCACCTCCTGGCTCCACCATCCTGGACTTCAGTTGTTAACCTCTTATTATAGCACCTTAATATATTTGAATGTTGTGTTTGTGTGTCTGTCTCCCCACTGGTCTACAGCCTGTATGCAGGTAGTCTCCCCTTATCTGCGGGGGATATGTTCCGAGACCCCCAATGGATGCCTGAAACCGAGGATAGTACCAAACACTGTACAGGCATACCTCCAAGATAGTGCAGCTTCAGTCCCAGACCACGGCAATAAAGCAAAAATTGCAATAAAGCGAGCCACAGGAATTTTTTGGTTTCCTAACGCATATAAAAGTTATGTTTACACTATACTGTAGTCTATTAAGTGTGCAATAGCATTATGTCTAAAAAAGCAATATATATACCTCAATCAAAAAAATACTTTATGGCCAAAAGGTGCTAACCATCATCTCAGCCTCCGGTGAGTCGTAATCTTTTTGCTGGTGGAGGGTCTTGTAAAAAACACATAAATAAAACAAAGTGCAATAAAACGAGGTATGCCTATGTATACTATGCTTTGTCCTATGTATACATACTTACGCTAAAGTTTGATAAGTTAGGCACAGTAAGAGATTAACAACCATAACTAATAAGAAAATAGAACAATTATAACAATATACTGCAGTAAAAGTTATGTGAACGTGGTCTGTCGCTCTAAATATCTTATCGTACTGTACTGCACAGAAGAGCTGGGTTTCATCGCAATTGAAGACTTGCTTGGGCTGGTATCCTTGCTTCTTAATCAGCTGCTTCAACTCTGCCGGAAGCGTGGCAGCGGCTTCTTCATCAGCAGGCGCAGCCTCTCCAGTAATTTTTATATTTCTCAGTCCAAACCTAGTCCTGAATCTGTGTAACCATCCCTTACTCGCAGTAAATGTCTTGTTCTCACTTGTTTCAGGGGATCCCTTGCTGAAGTCTTCGTACAGGCTCAACGCCTTCTGGCGCAACATGTTGCCATCCAGCGGAACACATTTCCTGTTCATGTCTTCCACCCACAAACTTAAAGCCTTTTCCATCTTAACTAAGCATTTCCCACGCACTGTGGCCGTCACTTTTGCAGTTTGAGGTGCGACAGCAAAACTAGCCCGAATTTCTTTTTCCTTCTTCGCGATTTCACGGATGGAAGATTCGTTCTTACCGTAGATCTTAGCAACCTCGGCATACGATTTTTTTTCTTTCCTTATTAAGTCCAGAACTTTCACCTTTTCACTTAAAGGAAGCACTTTTCGGCTTCTCTTTGGCGCATTCGAATTGCCAGCGCCGCTATTCTTGCGCTTTGGGGCCATCATTAAGTAAAATAAGTGTTACTTGAACTCAAGCACCCGATGCCGCCTCAGTCGATCTGATAACCGAGAGGGCCACTAAGTGACTAATGCGGGTAGCATATTACAGCGTGGGTCCGCTGGACAAAAGGAGGATTCACATCGCGGCAGGACAGCGCGAGATTTCACCACGCTACTTAGAAGGGCGGGCAATTTAAATCTTATGAATTGTCTATTTCTGGAATTTTCCATGTAATATTTTCAGACGGAGGTTGACCGCGGGTCGCTGAAACCTCGGAAAGCGAATCCGTGGTTAAGGGGAGACTACTGAACAGGGATGGTTTACTCCTCTCTCTGTCCCTGGTACCAAGCCACAGGGCCCAGCAAAAAAAAAGTCTTCAATGATCTTGACCCTGCCCCTCGAAGAAAAAGAGGCAAAGCCCCAGGAGTGGCGGAGAACTCCCGATGGAAGCTGGAAACAGCATGGATTCCCCAGGAGGAAACGGGGCTAGGAGCCAGAAATTGTCCCTATCAACGTCCCTCCACACCCACGCCGGCACACACACATTCATTCTGCAAGCACTTACTGAGCACCACCTCCGTGCCCAGCACTGCACAGGACAGAGACAAATAAGGCACCACTCCTGTCCTTGCGGCCTGATGGGAAAGGCAGCCAGGACAAAGGCGAGTCCACGTGGCGCGGGACGTGCGCTGACAGGCTGGCACCTGCCGCAGGCGCTCCCGCCCTGCCCTCCCATCCGATCCCCTCCCACCTCTCGGAGCAGAACTCACCCGACCTCTCCACTTCCCCCTCCCCCGACCCCACTCCTCTCCCTCTCCTCTCAGAACCCGATCCCCTCTCACCCCTCCAGCTGCTCGGGATTCACCTCCGCCTGCTGCCCCCGGCACCGGAAACCTGCCCGGCCCCACGTGGTTGCCGGCAGCGGGACGCGCGGAACGCCTCTGCCCAGATCGGCTGCCGGAGAGCGCCTTTTGCAGAACACCACTCGCCCGCGCTTCCTCCTGTGAGCCGGCTGTCATTCTAGGGAGCAACTTCCCCATGTTTAACTTCCGGCTCTGGTCTTGCATGCTCTTCCGGCAAGCTCCCTGTGTTTTAAGATTCTGTGACTCACTTCCTTCGTTCTCCAGCAAATTGGCTTCCCGAGAGGTGGCGCTCGCGAGCGCCTGACCTAAAAGGAGACAAGTCGCTCTCGCTTGACGTGTCCTCATTCTTTCCAGCCTGTCAAGCAATGAGTTCTTAATTGAGTACTTACTCGGTGCCAGGCCGTAGTCCAGGGTCTGGGGCTATAGCAGTAAACTCTTCTGTGGCCTCTGGTGGGGTTGGGAATGGGGGCAAACAATAAACAAACGAGCAAATCCATACGTAATGTAGTGCATTATGTAGATGCTGCTAAAAAAAAGCAGGGCAAGGGGGAAAGATTGAAGGAGTAAACTACTTTGCAAGATTGGCTGGGAAATCTCTGACGAAGTGACAATAGAACAGATCAGCATGAAGTGAGGGAGCAAGTCCGCTGGTTGTCTGAGGCCGAGAATTACAGGGGCAAGGGGTGGCAGAAAATGCGGTTGGAGAGGGGCCGGATTATGTTGGGGTGGGAAGCCACTGGAGGGTTTTGAACAGGGCATGACATCCTCTGATACACATTTTAAAAAGTCATTCTGACTGCTGTATGAGGAATGGATGGAATAAGGTACAAAAGTGGAATCAGAAGTCTTTTCAACAAATGGTGCTGGAGCAGTTGGACATCTATAGGCCAAAAAAAGAGAACCTCCTCCTAAACCTCCTACCTTAAACAAAAATTCACTCAAAATGGATCATAAACTTAAATGTAAAATATAAAACTATAAAATGTTTAGGAAAAAAACTTCAGTACTGTATTGTATATTTGAAAGTTGCTAAGAAAGTAGATCTTAAACACTCTCATCACAAAAAACAATTTGTAGGGGCCTGCCGGTGGCGCAGTGCGGGTGCTCCGCTTCAGCGGCCCGGGTTCTCCAGTTCGGATCCTGGGCGCGCACCCAGTTGCGCACGACACACCGCTTGTCAAGCCACACTGTGGCGGCGTCCCATATAAAGTAGAGGAAGATGGGCACGGATGTTAGCCCAGGGCCAATCTTCCTCAGCAAAAAGAGGAGGATTGGCATCTGATGTTCACTCAGGGCTAATCTTCCTCACACACGCACAAAAAATTTGTAACTATGTGTGGTGATGGCTGTTAGCTAGACTTTTTGTGGTGATCATTTAGCAATATATACAAACATCGAATCATTATTTTGTACACCTAAAACTAATATAATGTTATATGTTAATTATATCTCAATTAAAAAAAGAAGGGCCAGCCCCGTGGCTTAGCGATTAAGTGTGTGCGCTCTGCTACTGGCGGCCCGGGTTCAGATCCCGGGCGCACACCAACGCACCGCTTCTCCAGCCTGTAGCCGTGTCCCACATACAGCAACTAGAAGGATGTGCAGCTATGACATACAATTATCTACTGGGGCTCTGGAGGAATAAATAAATAAAAATAATTATAAAAAAAAAAGAAAAAAATCTTTTTTGAGAGCTAGGCAAAGAGTTTTTAGACTTGCCACCCCAAGCACAATCCATTAAAAAGGAAAAAGTTGATAAATTGGACCTTATCAAAATTAAAAACTTTTGTTCTTTGAAAGACCCTGTGAAGAGGATGAAAAAACAAGCTACAAAGTGGGAGAAAATATTTACAAACCACATATCCAACAAAAGCCTTGTATCTAGAATACATAAAGAACTCTCACAACTCAACAGTAAAAAAAAAAAAATCCAATAAGAAAATGAGCAAAAGACAGGAATAGACATTTCACTGAAAAGGATATGCAGATGACAAATAAGCACATGAAAAGATGTTCAACATCATTAGCCACGAAGGAAATGCAAATTAAAACCACAACGAGATATCACT